TAAATAAATAATAAAAAGCATCCGACAACTCCTGTTCAACAATGCAAGCACTCTCATACGATAGTATTAGGCGATCTGAATTTAATTACACAAAATTTCCGTACATTTAAGCTATTATATGCCCATAAATGTTTTGCTCGTTCGATAAGAATTTGTAACCACTCTTGAAGATAAACGTTTCTGTTTTACATGTCACCATAACTGAGATTTTTCTGCAGAATTGATCTCTACTTCACCTCGGTTCATTTCCTTTAGTTAGCGCGCATATGTTTCCCTTCATATTTTCGATTTTACTTTCTGAATCTCACATGCCCGCCGCGCAACCACGCTTTCGCTTTTTCAAATAAAAACACCTGTAACTGTTACCGTACCTAAAAAACTACGTACGTTATACTCAAGGAAATTGAAATGAATTTAAGCTCTGTCCACCATAAAATATTTTTGGGAAATAATATTCGTCTGTATCTGATATTTTCAGATTCCCAAATTTGTTGTTGTTTTTATTTAATGGTGAAAATGACACGTTTATTACACAGACGAGTATTAATACGATTGACTTTTGCACTGATTTTTGCCTAAGTATAATCATTTTAAAAGAGGAAGAAACTCTAAATAAAATATTTTAAGCCCCTCAAACACTTAATAATATTCGGCAAAAAAATTTTTAATAATTGTTGTACGGCGAATTATAAATATCACTGTATGAATTTGAAAGACAGACATATATATACAATTTTTTTTTTCATTAATTTAAATAATTTTTTTCCGATATAAATCTACGAATAATAAAAGAAATGTGTAAAATACTGATAATTTACGAGCTGAAGAAAAACGATCAAATGATTTGAAAGAAATGCGAATAAATTATGTACATAACAACTTTGATACAAAATTACTGATTAGATTTGAAAAGGAAATATACCCTGTAAGAGCCTTGCTATGAATGTTGAAAAAAACATGTATATTTTCTCTATAATATCAATAAACTCACTGACAAAATTAAATGCCCGTTAAAAACAAATATGTATTATTTTATGAATACGGTATGATACCGAGATTTAAATTTGATATTATACATGTATAACCGGTTTAGAAATGATTATGAAGAATGGTTTAAATGTTATTGTTAATAGTTTAAGCTGAAAAATTTCTGGTAATGAATTTTTTTGCCAAAATTCATAAATGTACATTATTTTTTATTCGAAAAAAACAATAATTTATTTCTATTCGAAATATTTAAATTTTATGTAATAAGTGCCCCAAACTCAAAACAATTTCAACGGACAAATCATTGAAACATTATGAAACGATTTTCCCATGAACGACAATCCTTGATGTCATATGCATTATTTTAAGGAAAACATGAATGAACATTTCCGAAATAATCTTTTCTTTTAGACCTCATTTAACTGAGTTTATTTTCGATAATTTAGAAATGGTGGATATTATATTTTGCCTTGATTTGATCGTTCATTTCTCATTTCTGAATGTCGGCCGGTGCATATGTTTTCAAAAAAATGGACCAATCCGAAGATAGGGAGACCAGAGTCGAAATTGAACTTTAAAGAGTTCATTTGAAACAATTATTTCCTTTGTGGCATGTTGGTGTAGTCCATTGCATAATTTTGGGCGCTAGAAACTGGCTCAAGACACGCTAGCGGAATCAAAATGATACAACTGCAACATCTTATGAACAACTTATCTTTGTTTGATATTGCATTTATAGTGCATAATTGTCATAACCGTACTTAACATGAAACACCTAATATAAAAAATAAGACAACAGGCTTAGTTTTTGAAGTAAGAGTGTAGGTCTTAAGATAACAAGTTCATGAGCCTAGGGGTACGCGTTCCTTAATAGGTTTTGAATGAAACATTCTATATTCATGTTGGCAGTTACTAATTATAAAGCAGTGTTAAACCCAATAGTACTAACTATAAGAAGCTACAACATAAATTGCATATTTCATTAGATTTATTCGAGTATTGTGTGATGTGCTGCAAAAATGTAAATAAATAATAAAAAGCATCCGGCCTGTCTTCGAACCGACAACTGCTGTTCAACAATGCAAGCACTCTCTTACGATAGTATTAGGCAATCTGAATTTAATTACACAAAATTTCCGTACATTTTAAGCTATTATATGCCAATGAGGGGTTTTGCTGGTTCGATAAGAATTTGTAACCACTCTTGAAAATAAACTTTTCTGTTTTACATGTCAACAATAACTGAGATTTTTCTGCAGAATTGATCTCTACTTCACCCTCGGTTCATTTCCTTAGTTAGCGCGCATATGTTTCCCTTCATATTTTCGATTTTACTTTTCTGAATCTCACATGCCCGCCGCGCAACCACGCTTTCGCTTCTTCAAATAAAATCACCTGTAACTGTTACCGTACCTCTGTCCATCATAAAATATTTTTGGGAAATAATATTCGTCTGTATCTGATATTTTCAGTTTCCCAAATTTTGTTGTTGTTTTTCATCTAAAGGTGAAAATGATACGTTTATTTCACAGACGAGTATTAAAATGATTGACTTTTGCACTGATTTTGCTCAGTATAATCATTTTCAAAGAGGTAGAAACTCTAAATAAAATATTTTAAGCTCAAAGACAAACACATTCGGCCAAAAAATTAATTAATTGTTGTACGCGTAAGAATTATAAATATCACTGTATGAATTTGAAAGACAGACATATATATTACAACATTTTTCTTCAAATTTATATAATTTTTCCGATTTTAATCTACGAATAATAAACAAATTGTAAAACTACTGATAATGTACGATGCTAAAAAAAACATGTATATTTTCTATAATATCTATAAACTCACTGACAAAATGCGTAAAACAATTGTTATTGTTATGATACGGTATGATACCGAGATTTAAATTTGATATTATACATGTATAACCGGTAGAAAGATAAAGAATGGTTTTAATGTTATTGGTATGATAGGAAGCTGAAAGGCAAAAAGAGAAAAAGAAGCGAATTGAATCAGATGAAAACCCTCCAAAACAGTGTGCACCAACTCAGGCGCAAGCTAGTGTTCTTTCTGTTTACTGCCAAACTGCAAATAACATATCAGTCAATTTAACAGAACAGTCAACATGTGATACATTACATTCATTAGAGCTCTACTACACAAATCATGGAAGAAGTGATATATGAATGACACAAACCTTGAACAATGTGCTTATTCAATAATTTAATTGCCAGTAGAACATAAAGTGTCCAAACGTAAGGCAAAACATGTGTCAGTTTTGTTACTGACGATATTAAACATCTAAATGTTATCTTATGCGACGTTCGCTAACATTGCATTACAAGCAAAAAAATTAAAGTACCTATTTACATTGATAAAGTTACATATCAGTCGCTGTTTGACGTCTGCCGTATGTGAAATATTCAATTTCTAAAACTAAACATTGAGCAAGTTAAACACCACGGGTCATGTAATTGACTAGAAAAACTCAGTTTATAAAAAAGTAAAACTGTAGTTAATAATATCTATGATATAAAAGAGTCCATAGGGAAACAATGTTATTCTAACATTTACATATTTGAAAGAAAGATTTTGTTAAATACAATATTCAATGTTATTTTATTCCAAAAAATATCATTACTTTAATGAACAAAAATGAAAGTCTGGCTTTTGAAAATGGAGAAATTAGTGGAACAAAATGCAACAGTTCTGATCAATGCAATATTTAAAAAAGAAGACATCATGGTTACCAAAATCAATTGGGCTATAAACCTTAAAGACAAAAAATGTGATGTCAAGTCTTTGTTTACAAGTTTTTGTATTGAGTCTTTTAGATAAGTTATGCTAGCTAAAACTAATAGGATATGTTTTTACATGAAAAAGTGTTATGTATAAGCCTTGCTTTTCCTGCAAAATTTCTTTGACATATGCATTAAATCTTAAGTGCAGAACATTTCTACTAAAGAATCATAGATCTATCTTGTTCATTCAGCACACAAAATACAATTCAGTTAATCTGTAACAGACAAATGATTCTTTTTAATTAGTAAATTTTCAGTTTAATTGGCTTATAACATACCTTTTGTGATTTGGAGGATATTCAAACATCGGTTGCCAAATCGGAAACAAAATCTCTTTATTTTAATTCTTTAAACTCATACACCACCTCTTATACCACCCGTTTAATTTATACTTATACATCAATAAGTAAGTATTGGATTTTTCTTACTTCATCTGTTCAGATATACTTTCTTACTATTAGCTCACGAAAAGCAATTAATTGTTTCATTGTATGTGAAGGCAATCTAGGAATTAATGTTATGGCTAGGACTTTCCATTTCGAATAACATATACACAATGAAAGGGAGACAAATCTGTAATAAAATATTTTTAACCACCCCGCCGTTATTCACCTTTGAAAAGTACCAAGGACATAGTAAAAACTGTACTGAATATGTAAAATTGGTATATTTCCTAACTTCACAACATATAAAGAATCGCCAAACTAGGCAAATCAGTTCCCTTAGTGTGAAAACAATTGTCTTAAAATACTTCATTTTACAATATTATAACCTGATGGAATATATTTATAGAAAACCTCTTTGTTTTGTCGGATTGTAAAGCACAAGGTTCAGCAAAAACATTTGCTATATGTATGATTGAATAGCTTGATTCAGCGTAATTAAAACTTTGTTTCCCAAAATTTGACTTAGAAACTAAGATAGTTTGCATAAGAACATTGACTTACAAATCATAAAGTAACAACCAAATTATAAATAGCATGGATTCTTTGTTTACGAATTATGAACAAGAAAACTAAAAATGTGTTTCATATTGGCGAAAACATGTGAAAAAAATATGTTTCCTAAGATTTGAAAGAAAAAAATTCAAAAGTACTAAAAGATCCAACAATTATGTTCAGTCATTCAGAAAAGAAATTTACTGCAATAATTAAAAAAAATATATTTTTTTATCAATTTCGCATAAGCAAAAGCAAACTCACATGAACCATTTTATTTTCAATAAGGCGTTGATATCCACAGTTTAAGAAAAGCAATCACTTTCAGGAGCGGATAACTAAAGAGTAGCATGATAATCTCATTTTCAATTGAGATCAAGCAAAGTTTTTTTAACATTTTCCGCGCAAGTTTATATTTTTCGTTCTGGTTTATGTAAAAGAGCACTGAAAGACAAGTTGTCTCAACTTATTTTCACAAAAGATGTTATTTTAATAATCGTATCATTATCAATAGCTATTTAAAATTGTATTATCTATCTCTGCGTCAAAGTCAAACAAAAGGTGAATTATATTATATGGTTCAGGTGACTTAGTATAATGGCGATAACGATACTATTCGAATAATATTCGTACACACTTTAGACAGTCCTTAAGTCGAAAACTTATTACTTCCGTGTCTTACAAGTTTGTACAGGTATGTACTTTTTCAACCGTTTACTATAGGTTAGTTTAATGTGACAAGTTCTATTGAAACAAAAGGTTTAATGTTAATTTTGTAAGTTAAACACACCGATACTTAAACTAGCATTGTATTTTAACGTTTAAATATCCAATAACTTTCATCATTATAAATAAATGAGAAATGGGAATTCATGTTACAAGGGGGATCTATATAATGTTTCATACTGACAATGAACTATTCTTTTTGTTATATTCAATGATCTAATGCCTTCAAATCTGAAGTATGGAAATAAACTGGTATAATACACATGGTACATTTTGTTTGTTTATATATTAAAGTTATAACAATATTAAGAGTTTATTAACGTAAATCAAAAGTAAGTGTATCTAAAATGTTTGTATTCATTATATGAATTCTTAAGAAATCACCTTTTAATTACTAAAACCTAAAATAATCGTTATTTAATCAGTTATATACAACATAGTACACCTATATTAATACAAATGCATCTTAGATAGATAGTGTTTGTTACAAGGTCATTATCATTTCTTTTATCTCAGATAATACATTAAGTATAATGTATAGCTTTGAATAAAATATATAACGAAATAAAGTCAATTACCTTCTTTACAAATTTTAAAGTTTTACCTCGTCCGAGTATTTTTAAGGTAATTAGTTTAATAAGTAATGTTCAAGATATTTTGTTCTCTTACAAAAATGGTGATGTCAAACATTCAATTTTTCTTTTGTATTATCATTTTGTTTCAGGTTTCTACTCGTCATTACAAATCCAACATCATAGAGAGCAAATCACTGTTTCCTATAAATTTCCTAATTTAAAAATCAACGTAGAAACTCATTTCTGACTAGGTAAATGTAAGAGTAAACTTGATTTTTGTGGAGTTGTGATCAATATATATGTAGGATCGTAGGTCAAATATACATTTGAATATCAAACTCACATTATGATACCGAGATGCCGTTCGATGTTGTATCCACATTTCAATATTGCGGTGCTTATTGATATCGAATCCACATTTCGATATTGTGGTGCTTATTGATATCGAATCCATATTACGATATCGACATTTTTTCTATTTGAAAAGTATAATGAAATATAAACGGTAATAAAATGAATCAACCACCAGCTGTCGTAACAGATAGGAAAATTTAGCTTTCGGATAATGATGTAATGGAAACCCTGCATGAACAATTACCCTCGAGTTAGATGTTTTGGTGTGTTCCGACATCTGGTGTTAGAGCTTAATAGTATCTACTGAAATTATAAATCAATTTTTCATTTTTTTCTTTTTGTACGTCCTTTAGGCATTCCGTTTCTTTTCTATTTACGTAAAAGATGTTAAAATCTAACTATTTTGAAGCAAATGTCATTCTTAGTGCTCAGCCTTTAAGATAATGCTTTGTATTATTTCTTTTGGGCTAAGAAAATGGACATTGTCTAAGCCCTCGAAGCCGAATCGTTCTAGCCTTGCTTCGACGAACAATTGTGGATAACTTTCTTGTCCTTCCGCGTTCTTTAAAGCATTTAGTATTTTATAAGGGTATTTAAGAGTTCCTTTCTATACGCCAGAAAAAAAATTCGGCGTAAAATCTTATACACTGGTCGTTCGTCCGACCGTTTGATATCAGGTTTCGTGTCTGGTATGTATCTTTTTAACCAATTGAAGAAAAATTGACAGAAGTGCAGGGTTAACCTTCGTCAAGGTCACAATTTGTCATTTTGAATCAAATTCAAAATGTTGTGTCCGATCTTTTCTTATCAATCGATTAAAAATAAAACTTTTGGCAGAAATATTACTTATAATGAGACGATGTATAGAATGTGCATGTTTGTTCTTCCTGAGATCAAAATTGCCCTACTCCGGGGTTTTCTTGATTTATATAGTCAAACATAGGAAAATACATTTAAGATTCATTGTGTAAAACTACAGTGCCTACAGCTTAGATCTGTAGCATGCAGCATTGCCTTATTGTCCTTTATAAATCTGATAGGAATCATGTCCCTTGGTTCAATTTTAGTCCTGTCCAAGGGGTCACTTGATTAATAGAGACATATTGGGAAAACATATCCGAGACTTATTGTGCGAAATACTATAGCAAGAGCAGAGATGGCAAATAAAACACTATTGTGGATCACACACATTCACACTGATTATTAATAATGCCCCTTTGGTCGAATATTGGGCCTTGCCCGGGGCGTCACTAAGTCAAAATACTTTCTGTAGCTAAGATCATTATTTTGGTAAAACACTTACCAAGCCTAGACTTTAAGAAAGGTACGCTGATGAAGCAATGGGAATTTGCTGGCCTCGTATAAAAACTGGTAATCAAATCATTTAGTCCTTCCTGCACTGCGGGTCACTTCAATATTAGAAGTTTTGTATAAAAAAATTTTTGTTCAGTCTTGATTCTGTGCCCTACGTGGAGTTAAGATATTTAGCTATGTAGACACTTTACCTTTATAAAAACACTCCGTAATACACTGCTTTTATTTCAAGCCCTTGATAATATATGTAAAATTGTTAGCACAAAAGTTAGATATTTTGCATGTAGCATCAATTTGTAGAATTCTACAACAAATATAAAGTGAAAATTGGCCGTGTCCCGGAAGCCTCTTTCCTTGTGTATAGGAAAGCCCTTTTTATTAATACTATCACTTATTTGATTAACCTTTAGTGTCATGTTTCATTTTCATTCTGCTTTTTGTTCGATGCCCAACTTGGATTACGTGTGTGGTGAATGTATATGGCTTGACATTATCGAGTGTTGTCTTCTTTGAACGTTGCTCTGCAATAGTTTTGGTTTCATATTGTCAGAAAAGGAAGAAAATGTAAAACATGTAGAAAAATCACTTATTTGCATCCAAAATGGCACAATTGTTAATGTAAAACATATTTTGAATATAAAAAAATGTAACTTACAAAGCATGGTTTATTTTAACTATCTTATCTTTTAGAAAATGTATGGAGATCAAGATAAACATGATGATGTTTATGGGCAGTTGATGAACGATGTTGTTGCATCGGTGCAATCAGAAAACTATATCTGAAGAAGCGGAGCATATTCGTAGTGCAATACATTTCTATATAAAAAAGTGGCTTGATGAAGTTGAAGAAATTAATCCTCTGTTTAAAGTGAAAGAGTTAATTGGAGTTGGCAGTTATGCTGAGGGAACAAAGATACTTGAACCAAATGAATTTGATTACTTAGCTGTTATTGATGAGTTCTCCAAACCAGGTTTGCTGAACATAGATAGGGACGAATCAAACTTCTATGAAGGATTAGTAAAGGTCAAAGTGAAAGACGATGATCTTAAGTCTAGATGTAGTGACCTCTGTAAAAGTGGCCGCCTTCAGTGTTTTCAGCCTATAAACTTTCCAGGCCTGGGCGAACATCGATTTGGTCATGTTTTTATTGAAGGTTTCAGAAAGTATGCAAAGAAAAATGAATTAAGATGGGGACCAGGAACAGGTTCACCAACACATTGGACAGGTACAATCAATTTACCAGCCGTAAACAAAATATCCCTTTTGCTTGAGGGAGCTGATTACACCGTACCTAATGTTCTTATTTATTTTAAATACAAGGGCAGACAATTAACAACTGATTTGTCCCCAGCTATTAGATATTTTAAACCTGAGGACTGCTTTAATGTTAAAGACTGTGCAGGTCCAGTTTTTGCAGAACTTGTTCTTAGTCGTAAATCCCTACTCCTGATTGGAACACAACACGAATCAGATTTTAAAATAACAGTCACCGAAGCTGAGGTTGAATACATGAAAAGCGTGATGAAACCTGAACACAAAACTATCTATATATTTTTGAAATATGTAACAAAATTATACACGGACAAAGCATATGCTTTTTTTATTCCATTTACTTCATATATGCTTAAAACGGTATGTGTACATCATGATGTCTATTGTATAGCTGACAAGATATCAATGAGACACTGTTTTGAGTCAGTCATAGATGATCTAATGACATGTGCTCAACAAGGATATGTTATTAGTATTGTAGACAAACATATTCACCTCGATTCAGGACGCAAGCACCCCCAGATCCAGGATTACAGAACGAGTATGCTAACAGACATGAAGAACAGACATGAAGAACATGTGCACATTGCCTCAAGGTATCAAAACAGTTGATGCCTTGTTTGAATTAATTGAATATTATGTGTTGAATGAGAAAGAGAAAAGAGATAAAGGTACTAGTTTGTAAATCATTGTTTATATTGATTTCATAAACTGATATTCGAAACTGTATCTATAAGCTGCATACTTACTGCATGTACAATGTTTATCGTATATCTGTTCAATGTAAGAAGTTAATATCGTATAAGTAATAAATTCTGCTAACTATCAATTTAAATATATGTTTACAGCCTATACGCAACTTAAGATCTATATTGATTTTTACTTAAATCACATCACTAAATAAATATAATATATATTTGTAATAAAATCAATTTCATATAAAGAACACAATGATAGGCGGCAACGATATAAAGAATCGGAAGATCGGTTTTACGAAAACATTCAAAGGGAGGTTTCGAAGTTTACTAATATGGGTTTTGAGAAAAACGAAGCGGAAAGTGCTATGGAAAGGGCTTTAGATGGCCCTGAATTGGCTTTGTTAATACTTACATATGTATGTTCATCTTTCCATCCGTACTTAAAGAGTTTCAATAAAGTTTCATTCTAAAGAATGTAAATGTAATGTAATTTTTGCAAATTATAGTAACATTTATTCGAAAAGAATAATTTCTTTCTTAACAAAATGTAAATTAATGTAGTAAGTGCAACATTCCAGATTATTCCACGCATATCATTAAAATAATATATCAAATGTGTCATATTACATATCTTTTGGAGCTTACACGATTCGCTTGAATGACCATTCTTGACGTAATATACGTTATTTAAACAACGACATCAAACAACATCTACGGAATTACTTTAAGAGACCATGGAAAAGGATTTATTTTAGTAATTTTAGAAATGGTGGTCATTATACGTTGTTTCCATTGGATCGTATTTGGCTTATTTGAATATCGACCGGTGCATATGTTTACAATAAAATGGACCAATACGTCTGGCAGATGTTGTAACTATTTTCTATAATTGCTTAAAACTCACTGATAAAATGCGTAAAACAATATTTGTTATTTATCTGTATGATACTACAACAAATGATATAATACATGTTTAACCGGTAGAATGATAAAGAATTGGTTTAATGGTATTGATATTATAGGAAGCTGAATGGCGAAAAGAGAAGAAGAAGCAAATTGAAATACATGTCACCCCTCCAAAACAGTGTTCACCAACTCGCGAGCAAGCTAATGTTCCTCCTATTTACTACCAAACTGCTACTGAAACATCAGTTAAATTAACAGAAGAGTCAAGATGTGATACAGACATTTAACAGAGCTCTACTTCGCCGATCATGGAAGAAGTAATATATGAACGACAAAAACCTTAATAAAAACAATGTGCTTGTTCAATAATTTAATTGCCAGTTGAACAAAAAGTGTCCAAATGTAAGGCAAAACATGTGCCAGTTTTGTTATTGACGATATTTAACATCTTAAAGCTATTCTATGCGACGGTCGCTAAAATTGTATAAGAAGTGAAAAATTTAAGAACCAATTTACATTGTTAAAGTTACATATCAATAGCTGTTTCACGTTTGACGTATGTGATATATACAATATCAAAATAAACATAGAGGAAGTTAAGGTATGAGCCCCCTAATGGGCACTATAAGGAACTACAAAATTGACAAATAGGTCAGTTAAATACCTTAAAAGACACGAGAATGAAAAAAATAAACAGTTTACCGTATGGTTTACGAGTTATGGAGAGTTTTCTGAAGTACAACTTGGCTAATAGAAGAGCTCTTTTTCAGAAATGAGACACTCTAAATATTCTATTTTATAATCATTATGAACAAATGTTTTGCTATAGAACATTTTTGAGAAACAAATAATAGCATTCAGCTAACAAATGACCAAGCAAAATAATTGTTTTTAGTACTTAAAATGTTTGAAATATGTATATAAATGTTACCCACCCATTTTAAGTACTTGTTTGATCATTGTTCTACTTGTTGGGCCTTATTCAAAATATCCCTAAAATTTACTTAAATAAGGGGCTGTTTTGAAAGTTTGCATTAAATTTTCTTATTAGTATATTGGTTGCGCTTGTGAAATATAAAATACTTTAACCGTCTAGTTTTTGTTTTTTTAGACTATGAAAATAAAAGATACCAGATTTGATAAAAATTTTATACAATTTAGCCAATAAATACCAATAATAATTTCATAATTAAAATGAATCACTTTCTTTCTCTCAAGAGTGATATGAGAGACACAAATAATGCTTAAAGAAAACAAAAATGAAAAAATGTTGCCCCTTCTGGGGCTTGAACCCGTGCCCCTCAGTTACAATGCAGTTGACAGTAGTTCTAGCGTTTTTGAATACTCTTCAAAGTGGAGGTAATGCATAAGGTGGATAATACCTTAAACACCACGTGTCAAATAGATGACAATGAAATTTTATAAAATAGCAAAACTATCGTTATAGATATTTAAAGTATAATAGCCTATCGGGAAACTATATTACTCTAACATTTTCACATTTGAAATATGTTCATCACACCTTTATCACAAAATCTCATCACTAAACTGAAAAAAAATGAAAGTCTGGCTTTTGAAAATGGAAGAATAACTGGAACAAAATGCGACAGTTCTGATCAATGGTATGGCATTCTGATTATCAAAACTTATTGGACTATAAAGGAAGTGTTATGTATAATCCCGCATTTCCCGCAAAATTACTTTGACTCATTATTTGAAGTTTTAGTGCAAAACATTTCTACTTAAGTATCATAGTTATGGTTATTCATAACAAAATAATACAATTTTCCGTGGCACCGTTCAGTTAATCTATTATAGAAGAACGATTTTTTTTTAAAATTAGTAAATTTGCCGTTAAATTTGGATAACACATACCTTTAGTGATGTAGAGGATATTCCAACATCGGTTGCCATCGCGTTTTTACCATCGTACATCGCGGGTAAGAAGAAGTAAAAAATCACGATTGTCTAAACGGAACACCGTACAATTGAATTTACGATTTACCATGAAAGTGATTGTCTTTTAATACTATGTTAAGCATTTTCATTATACAATATGAAAACCTGGTAGGGTGTGCTTATTGAAATGCGTTTGTTCTTCATGGATACTAAAGCCCAAATGTTCAGCAAAACAATTTGATGTATGTTCGTTTGATTAGTTTTTCTTTTTCAGCCTATAAATTTGCCTAGCTGGCATTTATGCATTTTCTATTGTAATGACTTTTCGCAACCATAATGAGTGGATCAAAGTCACATACGCACTCAATACAGAAATCCCCAGGCGCATTCAAGGTTGTTCAGCTGAGCTGAGTAATTACCGAGTGACGAAAACGATAATACTCAAATAAAATTCGTGCATAACATAATTATACCGTCCAAAGTCAAATATTTCGTACTTCTGTGTGAAGTGAATTTGTTCAGGTACGCAATTTTACTAAGATTTATTTTCAAGATAGTAAAATCACAATTTGATATGTTTAATATGTTGTTCTTATAACTAGCTATACTATGCTTATCTTTGCGAAAAATATTTTTTGTCACAGAAATTTATTAAAATCGATGTAATTCTTACCGAATATGTCAAATTTGAATGAAAGAATGAATAAATTATGTATTGGAAGCTGCGCTTCCGGTTATAAATCAAGTAAAATTTGTCTTTCCTTAAAAAACTGCGATTTTTAATGGCATTATATATTCATATTGTAACCACCTAAATTATATTCTCATCCATATAGATACACTTGATATGTATTATACGATAAACATGTTTGATTGGTATTTCCATAAAGATTCTCATACTTCTAATGCTGTTACTTAATACCCGTTGGCCTATTTCAAATTAACAAATTTCATTGCATGACCTGTGTTACGTCCCCCATTTTGTACCTTTTTGTCTAGTATTTTTTTGCTGTTTGAATATTTCTTCCTTGCTTTTTATAGCCATTTGCAATATTTTATGACTTATGTCTGACTGTAAGACTCTATATAATGATGATAGTTTTGGCCATTTTAAACCAAGTCATATTAATTTGAAATGTAAGTACGTTTGCGATAGGAAACCAAGTCATGCACAATTTAAATAATCATATTCTCTACAAATCCGAATTTAAAGTCAATAAATCGAACAAGTAAGTTTTTTCACAATGCTATATTTGTTACTTGTACTTTTATAATTTTGATATAACAGACGCACATGCTTTAAACAGTTATTAAAGTGTTGATAAAATCACAATCTGTGTTAAACACAAATATAGCTCATTGGTACATATAAATTGTAAATGTCTATTTTTTGAATAAAAAAATAGTAACAATGTCTTATGTAAAATGTAAGCATAACTCTTCTTTCAAACAGGAATATTTATCTAAGTTATTTATTGCCCTTAATTGCATACTTACTATCTAACATTACATCTTACAATTTACACAAATTATCTACGTTATTCAGTTATAAATCGTTAACAATTGGCCTTCTTACCTTATTTGGTAAGGTATACAGCACTTTATTTTACCTATTACAATCTCGTTTTCTATATTTTAGATATGTTAGTTGTCTTACAACAATAATCTGAAGACTCTATTTTTTGGCCTCCTTATGTTAAGGTATTTTGATTCTGGATTTATATGAACATGTTTTGAACTGATAATCTTTTGCAGGATATTTCATTCTTATGATTATTATTTGTATTCAGGTTAGTGATTATCAATTCAAATCTATAATAATACAAAAAAATGTTATTAATTTATATAATATAACTCATGCTTAAAATAAATTACCAAAAAGACTCTAAGCAAATATTTATAAGTATTGAATCATTGAATTTATTAAAAATATCTATTTGACAACATTTTTCAACACACTTTTCTTATATACATATTTTTGTATGACATTTGTTGAAAGGTCATTTTTATTTAATCGATTTGGTTTTTATAAATAAGATAAAGGGGTGTTTGTTTGATTGGATTTTACGTCGCACCAACTCAGTATAGGTCATATGGCAACGTTCCAGCTTTACTGGTGGAGGAAGACCTCAGGTGCCCT